TCCCAACAGTTGCCCCCCTTTCCCTCCTTTTTCATCGCGTATTACCCCCTTATGACCTGACAGCCCTTTGATTAGTGTACATACAATATAATCACCTCCTTTTTTTGCTGTTCGTTACCTCTGACGATGGACTCCTGTAAGAGATCGAAAGCTCAGAACAATAAACAAATTGATCCGATGTTCAACAATCCTTCTTCCTCATCCATGCAAATCTCTGGAAGGCAAACGTTTTCATTAATTCGTGAATCCTCTTTATCTTAATTTTTCTGCCTATGAATTCTCGTAAAACTGTACTTTAGCCAGATTTTGTTGCAAACAAGGCTAGAAGACACAGTTAAGAGTTAATCAGTCATTCCTTTTAGAGGAGTGCTAAATCGGTTGCTTCAAGCCAGATGTGTCTAAAAAGTAATGCTCCTGGGCTGCTTACATCAGAATATAGTTTAAGTGAGAAAAATATGCATTATTAAAGGTACCGGATTTTTTGCAAGATTGATCTTCGTGACTTGCGATGACTATTTCTGAAATAGCTCGTGATTCATAGAGTCAGGCAGTGGTTTCTAAAAACATTTGATGGGATAAGAGAAGATTTAAAAAAGGCCAAAGAATTAGTTTAATTCAGGCGTTTTAAGTGTGCAGACATGCAACTAACAATAAACGAGGAGGGAAAGAACTGTTCGGGCGAAAGTTCACGTGTCGCCAGTTACCGGAGCCTAACAAGGTTTTGTACTACGCAAAAATTTAGCCGTCTCAAGGACTATAGGGAGAAAGGAAATTAACGCTCAAGGGATGGAATGGAAATGGGTAACTTGGCCGGTTGGCAGTCAAATAGCAGATATAATTGGCTCAGCCATTGATGAGAGGCGGAATCTTGCTTGACGACCACAAAGATCAGTTCTGCGTCAGGAAATCTCAACGAATTCAGTATTAAGAGGCATTCAGATGTTGTCTTAAGGCAAAATACGCGATGATCGCTTGCATAACTTATAGATCTGCATAAACTCTGTACTTCAGAGTACATCTTATCAAAGGACAATTACATTCACTGAACGGGGTCAAGAAGACCAAAGGTGGGATTGGACGCAGTGGCCGACAAGGCCTAGGCCCCCATCTA